TGCGCTAACCACTGCACCACCACTCCCCACTCACACACACAGTGCCCTAACCACTGCACCACCACTCCCCACTCACAGTGCGCTAACTAGTGCACCACCACTCCCCACACTCACACAGTGCGCTAACCATTGCACCACCACTCCCCACACTTACACACAGTGCGCTAACCATTGCACCACCACTCCCACACACTCACACACAGTGAGCTAACCACTGCACCACCACAACATCAGTAGTGAGTGAGTGGGTGAGTGAGTGGGTGAGTGAGTGAGTGGGTGAGTGAGTGAGTGGGTGAGTGGGTGGGTGAGTGGGTGGGTGAGTGGGTGGGTAGGTGGGTGAGTGAGTGGGTGAGTGAGTGAGTGAGTGGGTGGGTGAGTGGGTGGGTGAGTGGGTGAGTGGGTGAGTGGGTGAGTGAGTGGGTGAGTGGGTGAGTGAGTGGGTGGGTGGGTGAGTGGGTGAGTGAGTGGGCGGGTGGGTGAGTGGGTGAGCGGGTGGGTGAGCGGGTGGGTGAGCGGGTGAGTGGATGAGTGGGTGGGTGGGTGAGTGAGTGGGTGAGTGAGTGGGTGAGTGGGTGGGTGAGTGGGTGGAAGAGTGGGTGGGTGAGTGGATGGGTGAGTGGGTGGGTGGGCGGGTGGATGAGTGGATGGGTGAGTGGGTGGGTGGGCGGGTGGATGAGTGGGTGGGTGGGCAGGCGGGTGGGTGAGTGGGTGGGGGGGGGAGTGAGTGGGTGGGTGGGCGAGTGAGTGGGTGGATGGGCGAGTGAGTGGGTGGGTGGATGGGCGAGTGAGTGGGTGGGTGGATGGGCGAGTGAGTGGGTGGGCGAGTGAGTGGGTGGGTGGGTGGGCGAGTGAGTGGGTGGGTGGGCGAGTGAGTGGGTGGATGGGCGAGTGAGTGGGTGGGTGGGCGAGTGAGTGGGTGGGTGGGTGGGCGAGTGAGTGGGTGGGTGGGTGGGCGAGTGAGTGGGTGGGTGGGTGGGCGAGTGAGTGGGTGGGTGGGTGGGCGAGTGAGTGGGTGGGTGGGTGGGTGAGTGGGTGGTGAGTTTTAAAACGCCCTGTAGTATAATTTCTAGCCGAAAAAATCTTTATTTATTTCAAATCTGGTCAATTCTCAAGACAGTGGAGAGAGACACGGGGGAGAGAGACACGGGGAGAGAGAGACACGGGGAGAGAGAGACACGGGGAGAGAGACACGGGGAGAGAGAGACACGGGGAGAGAGAGACACGGGGAGAGAGAGACACGGGGAGAGAGAGAGACACGGGGAGAGAGAGACACGGGGAGAGAGAGAGACACGGGGAGAGAGAGACACGGGGAGAGAGAGACACGGGGAGAGAGACAGAGGGCCAGGTTCTATCCACAGCTACGTTTCGATTGGTACCACAGGAACCCTAAAATAGTGATAGGGATGAACAGTTTACATCACCACCATCACCACCACCACCATCACCATTAATATTAACATCATCACCATCATCATCACCATCATCACCACCACCATCACCACCACCATTAATATTAACATCACCATCATCATCACCATCATCACCACCACCATCACCACCACCATTAATATTAACATCATCACCATCATCATCACCATCATCACCACCACCACCATCACCACCACCATTAATAGTAACATCACCATCATCATCACCACCATCACTAATGTTAACATCATCACCATCAACCACCACCATTAATATTGACATCACCATCACCACCATCACCACCATTATCATCATCATCATCAACACTATCATCACTAACATTATCATCATCAACACTATCATCATCATCATCACTAACATCATCATCATCATCACTAACATCATCATCATCACTAACATCATCACCACCATCACTAACCATTAACACTTAACCATTAATCTGTAACCCTTAACCGCTAACTGGAACGTAACACAGCCCATATGCTGTAAAGTGGTTGTGTCTGCTGGTGGTGGTTGTGGTGGTGGTGGTTGTGGTGGTAGTGGTGGTGGTGGTGGCGGTGGTGGTTGTGGTGGTGGTTGTGGTGGTGGTTGTGGTGGTTGTGGTGGTGGTTGTGGTTGTGTCTGCTGGTGGTGGTTGTGGTGGTGGTGGTGGTGGTTGTGGTGGTGGTTGTGGTGGTGGTTGTGGTGGTGGTTGTGGTGGCAGTGGTTGTGGTGGTGGTTGTGGTGGTGGTTGTGGTGGTGGTTGTGGTGGTGGTGGCGGTGGTGGTTGTGGTGGTGGTGGTTGTGGTGGTTGTGGTTGTGTCTGCTGGTGGTGGTTGTGTCTGCTGGTGGTGGTTGTGGTGGTTGTGGTGGTGGTTGTGGTTGTGGTGGTGGTTGTGGTTGTGTCTGCTGGTGGTGGTTGTGGTGGTGGTTGTGGTGGTGGTTGTGGTGGTGGTTGTGGTGGTGGTTGTGGTGGTGGTTGTGGTTGTGTCTGCTGGTGGGGGTTGTGGTGGCAGTGGTTGTGGTGGTGGTTGTGGTGGTGGTTGTGTCTGCTGGTGGTGGTTGTGGTGGT